GTAGATAGAGTGGCTAACTCGTCGCACATTTATGACACATTAATATAGTCGTATAATCGTCATTCATTAGCGATGAAGTAAGACTATTATTCGACTATTTCTGTTCCATCGCAAGAGAGTCACAAATTGGAGAGACTATTATTCGACTATTTCTGTTCCATCGCAAGACAGTCACAAATTGGAGACTTTTTGTGAATATCGTTTTAGTCGGTAGCGTAGTGACTAATCCGTCACAAATGGGTGACTGATTTGAGAATAATTTGGTGGGTCACAAAAGTGTCATAATTCAGTAACAAATTTTATGTCGGCAACCATAAAGTAGTTGGAAACGTGGTAAATAAGAGTGTTATGAAGCGCACCTAACTCTTACCTAACTCGGTAAAGATGATGCTAATGAGTGGCAAAAGAGTCACAAAAATGTGACGCTTTCTTGTGTCGTCGCAAATGTATCACAAGTGTTTTGCATATATTAACGGCGAACCACCATCGCATATTCACAAATCATTCCATCACATATGATGTGAGTCGAGTTTTACCACTCAACTAAACTTTCTACAAGTGCACAACACTCACGGTTAGTATAGATAAGTGATCGAATCCACAAGGACTTCTTAACCACACTTCACATTGTAATGAATAAAAGTAAGTTAGAACAAGATATGTTTCTTGTTTTTATGATTGTAAGAATAAACAAGCAATGAATATAAATAGCAACGTAAATCAATGTGAGAAAAACATTAGGGCTTAGGTATTTCGCAGAGAATCATGCAACAATAACACGGATGTAAGATCTTCCCACTTTTGTGGCTCGGACCTCTATATTTTAGCACCCTAATAAATTCAACTATCGCAAGTTATTACAAGGTGAAAACATGCATTAAAGTTCAAGTTCTAATAAAATTCACCAAATTGTTTCGGCATATCCCTAACAAAAGGCTAAAAACAAGTATATATAGGTTTAGGGTCTTCTAGGGTTCACTTTAAGGCAAAACGATCTTTTACGTCAAAACTTCCCCAAAGTTGGTTGGCAACTTTGGTCAAGGAACACGACCAGTGTTGGCTTGAAAGTTCCTTGCTTCGTTCTGCCATCGGTATGGAACAATGGTTCATGAGGCGGCCTGGTGTTTGGCTGGATTCTACACTTGCTTCGTTTCTGAGGCAGTTTGACGTATTTTTGGTAATTCAGATGTATCTTCCTGCTCACAGCTCCAATTGAAATGATTCAAAATTCATTGTGAATTTAACTCAAAGATAAATTGTCTGACCAAGTTTCATCCAATTCCAATATAAATTGGTTCTCCGTTTACTGCTAAACTTCTGCCATACATGTTCTGTCCAACTTGGTAGAATGTTGTATTTTTTGAATTCTTTGGTCTTGATGATGTCTTTGGCTTGTGAAAATTTTTGTAGCTTGGTTTATACCTATTTTGGCTCTTTTTGCTTGATTTTCTTGTTAAGACTCTAAAATTACAAATACGAAAAAAAAACTACCTTCTGTATAAAACCGTAGATAAATGCATAGAAAATATAGTAAAATAGATAGTAATATATGTAAAATATAGGACATATCAACATAC